TAATATAGGTTATCTTAATAAAATTTTGAGTAATTTCAATTTATTTAATTGTCCAAAATTGTCCAAAGTGTCCAAACTTACTGTCTACAACTGTCCTATGACAATACTACTACAGACCACAGAATAGGTGCTCTAGTAAAAACATTTTTTTAAAGTACTAAATTTTTTTTATTTATTTAAATTACTCAAATTCTATACAAAAATATCTAACTAAATATTTCTATATCACGCATGTCCAAATGTTCTAATATTTATATATTATTTCTTAACTAAGAAAAAATTTTAAATAGGTTCAAAAATTTGATATTAATAATACTTGATGAAGTTAAAGCTTATTTTTTAAGAAAAAAAGAAATTTTAGCAACTTTCGAACAGCAATTTATATTTTTTTTGTTATGGTATGAAAAGATATGTGAAAATCCTATTATCTAAGTTATCTTAATTAGAGATATTTGAACCCAAACTCGAGTTTGAAATCAATTAAATGAGCAAAATGCTTGTGTAATTAGACTTTTAATTATTATCTTTATGACTACAATAAATTCAATATGTAATCGATTATCTGAAAGAATGTTTTCGCAATCCTCTGCATAAAGACATGATACAAATATTTTAATAAAACTGCTTATAATTGTCCTTGAGAGAACAGATCAATAAAGATTAAAATTTGGTTCTTTGCTTTTTTTAATTGAAAAAATCAATTTAACAATTGTAATTTAAAATAAATTTTAATCATTTTATCAATAATACAAATACAACAATGCACAAATGCTTAGTGTTATAACCAATTAACATGATATAGTACATTGAGCATCAGGAAGATAGTGCATAAATCTGCTCAATCTAAAAATATTTTATGTATTGTATTTGGATTTTAAAAAATGATAACTTATGCAATGAAGAATTTTGAGAAAGCTATACACTCATTTGTAATTAATTCATTAACTATAGTATTATTAAAATACTGATATTAGAAAGACTAAAGATAATAGCTAACATTAATATACATTATAGAATTTATGCTAATTAATTATTATAGTTGAATAGTTGAATCTTATAACTATTTAGTTGGTGATTTAATTTATCTGAATGTTTCTTAAACCTGTTCTGATTTTTACGTTTTTTTAGAAAGAAAATATTTTTTAGATAATAAGAAATTTTTCTAATTTTTATTTATTATCATTAATAAAATTCAGAAATTAAATTTGGTTTGCTCTAAACAGTCATATAAAAATTGATTGATATTTTATACCATCTTGTCTTTAATAACCACACTTGCACCAAAATCAGCAGATGAATTATAAGTTTTAACCCAAATACGAGCATGATAATGACCAAGTTTAGAAACTTTTTAATTAATTTTTGTGCTTCATTAATATTTTGATCGTAGCTAAAACCACCAAGGTAGCATTTTCCTAATTTATTTTTGATTTGACTTTTAGTCTGATTATCACCTTTATTTTCAATTTTTTGAAGAATCTTAAAAGCTTTTGCATGATCATTAGACTTACAAACGACTTTAAATAATTTGTCTAAGATATTGATTTTTTGCCTTATCAAATTCATCTTCAGCTATCTGAATTTTATTATTTAACCTTTTGTAAATTTTCAAAATAGACATTGTTTGTGATATATAGTATTTTAAAAAAAAATTAGATACACTTTACACTTTATTTATATAAAAAATAATTCTAATAAAAATTTTTTATCAAAATTTTTTTACTATTCTAAGTAATATATAATTTAAATTAAACAATAAAATTATATTTAAATTGATTTACATTTCTTAAATTATTTTATTAGTTGGTGCTAACATTATAAATAATAAAAATATATTTTAAATTTTGTAAAAAATAATTTTGAATACAGGATTTATAATTATTTTCAATTAGTTAGTTATATATATCAAATCAATTAGAGCATCCACAATTTATGTTAAATCAATTTATATTTGCATAATTTTGATCATCTAATCTACAGTAAGAAAAAATGCTATTAAGATACTAATTAATTATTAGGTAAATATAGATATTGTGGTAGATTAAATTAGTACCCCACTGTGATACCCACATTTATCTTAAAAGCCTACAATTTTATATAAATTAGGCATATTAGTAACTATGAATACATTGAAATTTAAAAATGAATTAGCTGTGATACAAATTGAGGAAAATTTAAAGCATGAGTCAAAAATGACTTATAATCAATTATATCAGTTTGCTACAAACCTTGATTTTCTGATAATATTTGTTGGTCTGGTGTTTTCTAGTATTGCTAGTATTGCTATAGTATTTTATTTACCATACTTTCATAAAATAATCAACTTTAACAAACTTGAAAATTAGTCTTAATATATATATTTTCTTTAAATTGAATAGCCATTAATGATAGTTATTTATAGAAAAATAGTAGATTACCTTACTCTCATTCAAAACCATGAAATTTCTGAAAATAAATTTTTTACCAAATTAGCAAATATTCCTTGTATTTAATATATATTGCAATCATTATATTTGTTGCTACTTATATTTACATAGCAACCTAGATATACACTGGTAAAAGAATTATACAACAAATTCATGAAAGATATCTTTATGCTATCTTTAGCAAAATATTGCTTATTTTGATAACGTTAACGCAGATGAAATTATTACTTGCATTATAAATAATACTTATTTAATTCAAAATAGCATTAGCGAAAAGGCTTCTTTTGTATTTCAAGTAAATAAGTTTGAAATTTTTAATTGTTTATATTCAAAATTTAATTATTAACATTAATTGTTATTTATTTATATAGTATACAGTTCAGTTTATTTCTGCTTTTATAATTGCATTTATTATAAGTTAGAAAATGACTTTAGTTATTTGTTGTGTGATTTTATTGATCAGATTAATAAACATTATAATAAATAAATTCATCTCTATTTTTGCAAAATAAAGTTTGGATAATTATTTCTTAGCAGAAAAAATTGTAGAAGAATCAATTTCAATTATTAGAACTACTATTGCACTTGGCATTCAAAAGAAATTGTCAAATATTTATGACAATTATTTAGTAAATATGAAAATAAAAGAATTAAAAAGTCAATATTACAAGGAGTTAGTCTTGGGTCTTTTTTCTTTTTATTTATGCAACTTATTCTTTAGCCTTCTGGTATGAATCAACTTTAATTCTCATACATGAAATAACCCTGACCAGGTTTTATCTTTTTTTATATTAGACAATTTGGCTTAAATCTATTATAAGTAACATCTCCGGAAAAATTTCTAGAGGTGTCACCTATAATAGATTTAAATCGACAATTTCTATTTATAAAATTAATGTTGAACTAATACTTTTATTCAAGGTGATAAATATTTTTTTGCTATAATTATTGGTGCATTCTCTCTTGCAAATATTGCTTCAGATTTGCAGGCCTTTGCAATTGTAGTTGGAGCTGATGCAAAGATTCTTGAAACTATTGATCTTGTTTTATCGATCGATCTCGTCTCACTAACTGGTAAAATTCCTGATCATATTGAAGGCTATTTTTAGTTTAAAAATATTTTATTTAGTTACTCTTCTAGATCTAATATTAAAGTTTTAGATAATATGTCATTATATATTAAATCTAGAATATCTGTTGCTATTGTTAGTGCTTCTGGTTCAGGAAAGAGTATGTAATTACTTACTTATATTTAATTAAATTTTATAATAAAAATTTAAATGTTTACTCTTAGGCATGATTATGTTATTAGTACTATGATTTTATGATCCTGACTTTGGAAAAATTATTCTTGATAATAATAATATTAAATTTCTTAATATTAAGTAGCTCAATCAACAAATTAGTCTTGTAGAACAAGAACCTGTACTTTTTAATGATACAATTTGTGAGTATTAGATTAATTTTAATAATTACTCTAGCTTTTTCTGATGCTAACAATAATTTTTTTTAGTTAATAATATTGTATATGGATTAATTGACTTAATATATGAAGACATATCTGACGAGATTAAATATAAAAGGATTAAAAATGCTTGTGAAATATTTAATGCTGACGAATTTATTGTAAGACTTTCTAATCAGTATGAAACAATAGTTGCTGAGAGTGGAATACTCTTATCCAGAGATCAAAAACAACCTATCACTATAGCTCGTGCTATTATAAAAGACCTAAAAATACTATTTTTAGATAAAGCTACTAGTGCTCTTGACTCTCAAAGTAAAAAAATTGTTCAAGACGTATTGAATAAAGCTTCTAAAAATAGAACTATGAGTTAAAAAAATTTTTTTGAAAGATGAAGCGGACATTTGCATATTTACTATATTTTACCCAGCATTATTTTAGCAAATATAGTAAAATTTATAGTGATGATACCTGAGTTGAATATTACCTGAGTTATCTGTGGATAATCAGATATTCAGATTGTAAACTCAGCTATCTGAGTAAACATATCTGAATAATACCTAAGTAGGTATATCCAAATAATTTTTAGGTAGCAAAAGTTGGAATATTCATATAGACTGTCCAAGCTAACTAAATAGAAATAAACTAATAATAAACTTATTACCTCAATATACTATACAAAAAGTTATTTGTAAAATATTATATTTTTCTTAAAAGCTATATGTAGGATTTTAGACCTAAAAAGAGTTTATACTAAATTAAACGATCAGCCAAAATAAATTAGTGCTTCAATAGAGACAATAAGATATTATTATAAAACTATATTAAGTTTAAACCTATTAGTAACTTACCAAATACAAGAGTAATTTACAGCTGTAATAAATATGCACTAATTCATTATCTAGTTTAAATTCTAAAATTAGTATATTTTAGTGAATAGATTTATAAAACCTGCATTTCTTTCCGAAATAATATAAAATTTTTAATTATCAATACTAATAGAATGATTTATCTTTATATCTAAGGTTGTTATCAATATGAAGCTAGAAACAATAGCACTAGATAAACAGGACCCTGAGCAATCTATATACAGCTAAGATTTTTAAAAAATCTTAACAAATTACCAAAAAAAGTAAAGATCTGCATAAAAATAGTCAAAAAG